AAGGACAGAAGGAAAAGATTTTATTTAGTGCGTTAGGAGAAAACCCCAAAGTCTCAGCGACGGGCTGAGCTTGTTAGTAGGTGGAGGTGGTAAGATGACTGATAGTGAAGCAGACACGGCAGAAGTGCTGGACAAATGTTTCCTTGCTGCTGCTGGAAGGATGCAGGTGGACGTGCCGGTACTGGGAGAAGATGAAGTATGTCTCTGTCCAAGGGATGGATGCACAACGTCTGCTAAAGATGAATGTGGGGTAGAAGCTTGGGGTCTATGCTCTTGGGCATGGGAGAAGCTGCTCGGTGGTGCTGGAAGGCTGCTTGTGCAGGAGGGAGGGGGGAGCTGCTCACTTTCTCTGTGCAATTCCTGGAGAACTCCCACTGTGAATTTTACAGAATCTCTACCAGGATTTCTCAGCCCTTTTCCCAGGCTGAGCATTCTTTGGGCTCTTGGCCTTCTGTTGCAGAGAAGCTGTTAAAGACTTCTGCATAGCTCTGTGTCTTTTCATTTCTACTGCATCCTTTTGGAGAGGTGGCACCAGGGCTGCATGTACCTGGGATGGATTCACCCCAAGGAGCACCGTGATGTTTGCTGCTGTTTTTTCTCTTGTCCCCTCATCACTCTTGATTTCCTTTTGCCCTTCTGGCTGTGAGGCTGGAGTTTCCAGACACCTCATGGCATCAGCAGGGCATCTCCTTGGCAGGAGCTGCTGCAGTGTTCTGCTCAGGGAATGTGAGGCTAGTTGGAGTAGTTTAAACAATCTAGTTATCTCTGCAAAATGGGCAGGTATTTCAGCACTGTGTAGCATTGTAGTAGGAGCAGCAAGAGGTGCAGGAGGGGAAGAGGGTCCCTCTGGGCACACTGCAGGATGCTGGGAATGCTGCCACCAGCTCCCATGCCTGGGTTGTAAAAAAGATACTGGGCAATCAATGCGGAGTCACAGGAATTAATTGAGGGCTAGAGAGAGCTTGGCATTGAGCGACTTGGAAGGCAAGAGCTCTGTGTAGCTTATCAGAAAGAAAATTGAGAGGTGCCTTGATTGCAGTGCATGAGGGTCTTTACAAGGAGAAGATGCTGGTTAGCAAAGGGCTCCCTTTAATCTAGCAAAGAGCAGTAGGATGTGAGCCAGGCACAGGGAGTCAGAGCCAGGCGATTCCCAGCTAGGACAAAGGCACATGGTTTTGCTCCTGAGGGTGATTAACAACTGGGATATGTTCCCAAGGGCAGTGGTTGAGTCTCCATCTCTTGATGTCTCCAAAAACGGGCTGGGAGCCTGCTGGGAAGCAAACCAAGATGCTGGGCTCAGTATTGGGCTGTGCGTGGTTAAACATCAGTGGCTGAGAGGTCAAATGGAGAGCTCTGATGGTCCCTTGTGCAATGGGACTGCAGACTCCAGATGTTTAATGAGGAGGGCAGCGTGATGGGGTGCGGGGCCACAGGATGCAGGAATGCACTCCATAGCTTTGCCTGTGGCAGCCTTGAAGCCTCAACTTCCCAAACTGGTGCTTGCCCCATGGAGAGGAATGGACCTGCCAGCCCCAAGGGCAGAGCTGCACAGGAGCACACTGCTAAGCATGCCTTTTCACAGGGCTCTGAGGCCAGGGTGTTGTAACTAATCGCGGGGAGTTTTCCAGCAAAGCCCTGGGAATATTTATACGTTTAGGAAACGACGCTTTCACACACGCAGTTTTTGGCAAGTGTTCACTGCTTAGCAGCTGCCTGCACTCAGGCAGAGCTAAGCGAGAGCAACGGCCACGCGTACGGCGAGGTGAAGGCGGCGGCTTTTATTGGCAAGCCCAGGGGCTCAAATGGGGAGGGGGAAAAGTGAGCAGCTGCAGGGCTGAGCACCTTGGGGCTGTTGGTCCAGGGGCACACATCTACAGCAGGCACTGCTGCAGAGTCCCATGGTGATGAGGGTCATTTCTCCTGCACTGGCCCAGCCACAGAGCAGTCAAAACCACTGGGATAAACTCACAGATACGATCAGTTCAAATATAGCCCCTGCGCCCCAGGATGCTTCACCCTGCATATTTTTATCTCCTGTGGCCGGTGAGCACTGGGGTGGATGCTCCGCACCTCCGGCCGCCCTGTGCACTTGGCTTGTGGTGCAGGGCCCCGGCAAACAGGACGTGGAGGGTTCACCGGTTGACCTGGCCCAGCGAGGAGGAGGATGTGCCATCAAAACAAGCAATGCTGGAGAGGAAGATAAACAAACACCAGCTTCCAGTGTGGCCCCGGCTGAGGGCAAGTGGGAGCTCTGGGCTGGGGCTGGTGGGACAGCAGGGCTGACGTCAGGGAGTGCGGGGGTCAGAGCCCCATCCCATTGTTCTGCAGCAGGGCTGGGACAGGGCCAGGCCTCTGTCCCCATCCCACAGGGCACAGGGGCATGCAGGCAGGTGGAGGGCTCTCCCTGAGGTTGCTGGCTCTCACCTGCCTGGTGCCAGCACGTGCAGCCAGCCACCTGCCCAAGCTCTGCTCGCCCACACCATTCTGCCTCTCCCTTTTAATGGGTGCTAAAAATAAGCCTGGGGATGGGAGCTGCTTCTGGCTGCCCATGGGTGACCCTGGCTATGTGTTGTGGAGGGCAGGGACCATGTCCATCCTGCAAACCCAGCCCGCTGTGGCAGGGTGGCAGAGGAGGAAACAGCCTTTTGGCTCCTTCTGATGACAAATGGTTTTAATTAGTGCAAGGTAGCTGTGGCTTTACAGCTGCCTCTGGGCCAGTGGCATGGGCGTGATGTGGGGCACACATGGTCTGTGGCACAGGGTGATGCTGCACGTGCTCATCTGTACTGGGCTCCATCTGCATGGCACCGGGAAGGGCCACAGCTCTGCGCTAGCAGGGACAAGCCATGGGTCCTCATGGCAGGGTGTAGGTCAGGGCAGATGAGGAACATGGGCTGGCTCCTGGGGATGCCTGGCTGGAAGGAGCAAGCCCACATATGCATCCAGGCCTCAGAGGTGCACTCATCATTGAGCAAAAGCACACGTGTGCGTGCCGGCACTGACGTGTGCCTTGGGCAGAACGCAGCATCCCATTTCTGTACGCTACACTCATTTCTGTGCACCCGTCTGCAGGTTGTGGGGAGAGGGGCAGTTTGGGGTGAGTGTGGGTACCCACTGCTGCATGGGGGCTGACCGCTGTGTGGGCGCCGGGCCCGCCCCGTGTGTTTGCCACTGAGGCGCGTGGCGGGCGCAGTGTGGCTTTATTTATTTATTTGCTCAGGCACCATCAGGTGAGGGGGGCCCCGACTGGGCCGCACTTTCTGGGCCGCCGCCGGCAACCACAGGCCGCTTACACAAGCGGTGAGTCAGTGGAGCTGCACACTGCTAAAACCAGACTTGGCATGGGCACTGCGGGACAGCGGGCTGCCCGAAATAGCGCCCAGACCGTGGGCAAGGAACAAACCCCCTCTGGCACAGCTGGGGCCTTGCTGGCTGCCTGCCTGCTGACTGTGATTGCTCCATCACGGCAGCCCATCCTGCCCTGTTAGGGCTAAGGATGCACCCTGTAGGGTGCCTGCTGCAGTGTGGGGCTGGTAGCCTGACCCCAGTGGCTGTGGCTGCGTCCTGCCACAGTCCTTGCAATGCGTGACCTGGAGAGCATGTGACACAAGCTGGGCACAGGCAGCCCGTGTCACCTGGAGACTTTTTGGGGGATGAAATTTTGGGCTCGGTCATTATGACGATTCTCTCTGGATCGTGGCATAATCCATGGAGATGCACCAGTGTGCATGTACAGGGATGTACAGGCACAAACAGGGAGCCCTTCTTTGCATATGAGGGCTTTCTCATCCACTCTGTGCCATGCCATGCTATGCTGTGCTTTGCAATACAATGCTATGTCATGCCATGCCATGCTGTACCGTCATGGTGTGCCATGTCATGCCATGCCATGCTATGTTGTGCCATGTGATGCCACGCTATGCCATGCTGGGCCATGACACACTGTGCTGTACTCTGCCATGCTGTGTCATGCAATTCTATGTCATGCAGTGCCACATGGTGCCATGCTGTGCCAGGATACTCTGCCATGTTTTGGTTGTTACTACACCCAAGCAGAGGGGTGTCACAGGCATTCTGGCAGCAGGACCCAGAGCCCCTCTGGTGCAGCAGTGGCCCCAGCCCATGCATGGGCATCGACCACGCAGGGGATGATTGATCTTGCGTCAGTAAGCAGTGGTTTGAGTCAGTGCCAGGCCTCAGCTCAAATGGCGGCATTGAAGGGGGAGAGCCCCTTCCCCCTCCGGAAAGCAGAGCAACTGCAGGGCCTTGTGAGGGGCAATCTTGCTGCCCTGACAGCCCCCGGCCCCACTCCCTTGGGCTGGGGCTCTCATCCCCATGGTTTACACACTGCTCCCAGCTCTGCAACCGAGCCTGGCCTGAACTGTATTGGGAGCAGAGGAGAGAAAAGAGTGGGTGAGAGAACAGTGCATTGGTGTCATCTGCTCCTCTCCTCTGCTCAAGGCAGTGCCTTTCCCAGCTCTGCAGCTTGGGATGTGGCAGCGGCTCCTGTGAGCAAAGGGGGTACTGGGGAGGAGAACAAGATGAACTGTGACAGGGCCATTAGGAACTGCTCTGTGTCAGTGTAGGATGTGGCAGCTTCTCCGTCCCCTGTGCTGGGTCTGGATGAGATTATTACTTTCTTGTCATTTTGGTCCCTGCTCTCTGCCTGCCCATGCAGGCATAGGCTCCATCCAACTGTGCGCATCTGGGCTGGCGGCTGCGCACCCAGGGGCACATCCTGCCCCCCAGGCACACGCCCCGGCAAAGCCATAGCATTCCTGAGGCCGCCTGCTCCCTCTCGGCTCGGACCTTTGTGTACTATTTATCTGTGTGAGGAAACAGAGCCATTCATGTATTTCTCTGCCTATTTATACCTCTCCCTTTCCGTATTTAGTGTGTGCGCAGGCAGAGGGGGCAGCGTGCGCCGGGGCGACTGATGTTCTTGGCTCCAGTGCTGGCTGGAATTTCGTCCTGGAATGTCTCCTGAACCGCTTTGAAAACACGAATAAATCTCTGTGTGTTGTGTGCATGTGTGTACACAAATATATAGACAACTTATAGACACCGAGCCCTATGGGGGCATTTGTGAGTTTTGCTATTTAAAGACACAAGTAGTTATAGGGCTCTCAGCGAGCCCAACACCTCTGTATCAAAGGGATGCGGGGCGTTTTGCTAGCGGCCTGGTATTTGGGAGATATATGGCCCTTGCCCTGCCCTCCCTGGGGAGCTGAAGCAGTGGCCAGCTCCAGTTCCCCTAGTGCAGGCTGTGGTGCCTTCAGCGTGTTAGGGAGAGGGTTTGGGGGTACTTTTGTGTCTAGGGCTTTTGGAGGGCCAGGTATTGTCTCTCCACCACGGTGCTCATGGCTGCCTGGGAAAGATGAGGGGCGAAACAGGCATTGGGTACCAGGTCCTGATGGGTGCTTGTCTGAGCATCTTCTCGGGAAGCACTGGAGTAGCTGGTGCTCACAACTGCCAAGAAAAGGCAGTAAAAAGGAGAAGAAGGAGGAAATAGAAACTAGGTGTCAGGAATTGGGCACTATTCCCCAAGATACTGGGATACTGTGGGATACTGAGGGCAACTCCTGGGGATGTGCTGACGGCTGCTTTGCTGGGGATGCTGGATGAAGCCCTGGCCAGGACCAGCAACTCAGAGGGCTTCCCACCCCCAGGGGTGACAATGGGAAGGATGCTGAGGCTGAGCTGGGCAGACAGAAGAAGATCAGGCCCTGTATGGCACCCATGACACAGCAAGAGAAGGGGCACGGCAAAGCCAGGTGATGTGGGAGTGGGCATGTGTTTCAGTGCAGCTCAGGGCAGCACCAGCTTTTTGTGACCTGGGTGCTGAAAAACCTGATATTTCAGGCTCAAAATGCCCATGTTTGGTCTCTGGCCAAAGATGTGTTTGTGGGTGGGGGAAATTTGAGCAAATTCCTGCTGTGAGCACAGCACGTGTGCGCGCGCGTGCGGGTGTGCGTAAAGGGGAAATACAGTTTTCCTATTTAAAAAAGCACCACTTATTTTTATACAGAACTCCAGAAGGACTGAATGTGGAAACTTGGCCTGTCAGCAGCTGTCACAGGGGAGCAGGTCCCTGCCTGAGTTTGGGGGGAAACCACAGCTGGGTGTTAATGGGACTGTTAATGAATTAATGTTGGCTGCCGTGTGCTAGGGGGGAGTGCACAGCCCTTCCTGGTACACGTGCTGAAGCCTGGCTATGGCTCACGCATAGGATGGCTGCACTTTTCCAGAAAGCTCCAGCTCTGAAGCCGCTTGCTCGGCCAGGTGGGGCTCTCCTTGTGCACCTTAGCTCCTCCGGTGCTCTATATTATGGCACTTCCTGCAGCAGCGCAGCCTGTCTGCAGCCAGATGTGGGGTTAATTCTCTTACTGTCTCCCCCAGAGTGTGGAGGAGTGCTCACATAGATGTGCATAGGGGTGCAGTGAAGCTTAAGCGCCATAACCTGGTTAGACTAAAAATGGGGAGCAAACAGACAGGACCTGGGAAAGAAAGAGCAAATTCTTTTTCGTGGAGATCTTCACTCTTCTCCAAGGACATCTCCGCTCTTCACTGTGGACATTTCCTTTCTTCTCCATGGGCGTCTCCTGCTGCTTTTGACTTCAGGCTGTGTGGGTGACATCTCAGCCACGGAGAAGCCCATGGCATCTCCTAAGGATTCCACCTCTGGTACCAGTTAGCAATTGAGAGCATGAGTCAAGAGGAAGGGTGACCACGGCATGGGAGTAATTACGATATCAAGGAAGGGCTGGCCGTGGCGAGGAAGGAAAGACCACACCAAGGAAGATGGTCATGCTGAGGAAGTAATGACCATGCTATAGTAGGGTTGACCATGCCCAGTAAGGAACTGTAGGGTGGAAAGGATGCTGCTATGGATAGAGACAAAGAGTGAGACTGAATTAGTGGGCCTTGCTGGGAGGAAGGCTGGAGGAGCCCAAGCATGGATCTGGATGGGCTCTGCCTGCCCCATGCTTGGCCCCAGAAGATCCCAAAGCCCAGCCTGGAGGGGCTCTGAGGCTCCTCTGTGCTTGGCCACAGCTCCCAGGGCCCGGCCTGGCTTTTGCGGGGCTCAGAGCCATTCCCAAACCCATCCCAGACAGACGGATATCCCAAAACCCACTGGCCACAGAGCCCATCCCAGGGGCCCCTGCTCTTGGTCCTCCTATGTGAATGGGGTGGTGTGCGTGTGCCCAGACTGTCCTCTTCTGTGACTGTACAGTACACACGGCTAAATATACGTCTGTGCAGATACAGGAATCCAGAGGGACCGAGTGATGCTCCCTTTCTATACCTCTTTTCATGGGGAGAGCTAATGAGATTCATGTCATTAAAGGGCTGATGTTTTGTGGGATGGGAGCCTTTTAAACGGGATGTGTCCTGGCTTAGTCATGGCAAATATTTACCAAAAAAAAAAAAAAAAAGAGGAAAAAAAAAAAAAAAGGGACATACCATATAAAATTAGAGTTCTGAAAATAGTATTTAGAGCAAGTGAGAGAGAGGAACCTAAACCAGAAAATACAGCCCAGTCTGTTCAGGAGTCAGGGGAAAAAGAGAGAGAAGAAAAAAAAAAAGCCAGAGATAAAACGAGAGAAACCTCGGCAGTAAAAACAGCATCTTGGTAAATAGACTATTAAAAAAATTCTGACCTGCTTTATGGCTTTCTTGGCTGCCGTTCAGCTGCGCTGCCCTGCCGGCACGGAGAGAAGGTAGCGGGGCCGGCGTCTGTGTGGATGCTCAGAGCCCCGGGACGCGGCTCCCCCCGCGAGCAGCCACGGGGCGTTAAATTTAGCCACATAATGATGGCCCTGACGAGGCAGCCTTTTGTAGCCACGCTGTAATTACTGCCTGGCTTATAAATTTTATTTTTCTTATTATGTTTCCTCCTCCTCCTCTGCTGGGGAAGGGGAAGGGGGGCTCCCATACCCCTATCCAACCCGCAGCTCTCTGGGGTGTGGGGGTACGGCTGCAAGGGATGAGGGGACGGCTACTGAGCCCCGTGCTGCTCCCTGCATGGGCAGGGGGCTCACCCCACCTTTGGGGTTGGGGAGAGCGGTGAGCTAAGCTGGCCCAGGCAGGGTCCCCATGGCACAAAGCACGGTGTCCTGGTCTCTCTGGGACTGAGAGAGGTGGAAAGGGCCAAGGCTGGCTCTGTCCCCATCATCCTGTGGCCACAGCGCTGGGATGGGGCAGGGGGACAGAGCTGGTGCAAACGGGGGACAGTTTCAGACCGGGCAAGAACGTGCCAGAAAAGGTCTTGTTCCCCTCTTGTTTTCCCAAAACAAAGGAAGCAGCCTTGCATTGCTGGAAGTCGCGTGCTCAGGCTGCGCTGCCTTGTTATCATCCGATAACCTGACGACCCAGGAGCTGCCCTGCTCCTCACCCGCCGGGATCACACTACGGGATGCGAACAGCTTCCGCATTAGCTGCCCTTTGCAAGGATCTGCTTTCCGCTCTCTGGGCCGGGGGACGAGGGGGGGCTGACTGTGTGACAGCTCCGGTCCTGAGCAGTGCAGGTGAGAGTGGAGGGCAGCAGCGGTGAAAGGGCAGAAAGGATACAGGTGGCCTGGTGTGCACGGGTGTTGCCATCCCATAGCAGATTTGGGGTTCTGCTCTGCCTTGCTTTGCCCTTTGTATCTTCACTGTTGTCAGGGCAGTCGGTGCTGCGAGGAAAGGGCAGTCAGAGCTCTGTGGCCATATGGGGTTGCTGGGCATGGTGGGCAGCATGTGGGGTGGGGACCCTGGGAAAATGGTGATGCGTTTGAAGCTGGAAGTCTTGCCAAGTGCCGAAGAGCTGGGAGCAGAGCTGGCACTGCCTGCTCATCTCTCCATCTTCAGCCTAGCAGTGCAACAGTGCTGAGGCACCACGGGGACCCCAATGGAACTGGTGACTGGAGTGACGTGTCCATCACAGCAAGGAGCTGTCTGGGGAAGAGTGCCCTTGGTACAACAGAACATGGGGGACATGGGACTTGTCCCATGAGCTGTGCCCAGAGGACCACCTCCTACCAGAGCAGCTACTTTCTTGTTCCTCACGCTATAAGGGCTCTGTTCAGAGCCAGGATGACCCTAGGCAACCTCCATCCCTCACTCAAGCGCCCATTTCAAGGCAGGTGAAACAATACTAAATCAACTCCTTTGAAGCCTCCCGGCCCACAGTCCCACGGACGTGCCACTCTCCCTTTCCCCCATCAGCTGTGGGCATGCTGGGGGCTTGGCGTCAGGCGCAGGGATTCAGCACCAAGGTGGTCGCGGGAGCCCTTGGGGCTGCGGAATGGCTTGGGAGCCCGGCTGGGGACTAGGAGACAAAGTGCCCTTTCAGCCCTGGAAAGATGCATGTGTGTGTGTGTGTGCATGGAGGTGAATGCCCTCAGCTCCAGGGAGAGCAGAGAGCTGGCTGTGTGCAGCCTGTGGAGCAGCCCTGCACGTGTGCCGCTCCCGTGTGTGCCTTTCCGTCCCGGTGGATTTATGTACGTCATGCGTGCGCCTTACTCATCAGGGTGTTTTTCTTTCCTTGTTCTTGGGTCTTCCCCCCTCCCACCCCCACGATGCATCTATAATTCTTATAGTTTTTATCCCTTTATTTTATTTTGGAAATCACCAGTTTTGGAAGTCCTTAGGAAAATAAACGGTATTTTTAGAGCGTGTCTGCCAGGCTGCTGATCCCGCCTGCCCTATTCGTCGCTTATTCACTATTTGTTTAAACTTTCATTCTCCCCACTGCTGCATCCCGGTGATGGGGTGCAGAGCAGTGGGCACACACGGGGCTGAGCAGCATGGCAGAGTTGTAAATGAGCAGAAGGCAGCTCCAATCTGGCCTTTATTGAGGTCCGGGCTTGGGTAGCGCTGGAGTAGCCTGCCCTGTAATCAGCCAGCCACCAGAGATGGTCGGCCTTGTAATAAAGCAGCTCTATATTTATTTGTTCTGTTTATACCCTGCTCTGTAATAAGTTGGGAGCCCTCCCCAACCCCTTTTTCTTTGGGTCTCCGAAAGGATCTGCCATCCCGCACTGTGCACGTTCCTGCATCTGGAGCAGCCGTGCCACATCTGGGCAGAGCTCAGCCACGCACCTCTCCCTCCATGTGCCCACCACCATCCTGTTGTCTGCATCCCAGCCCTGTCCCCCTGCTCACCCCGTGCCTTTTCCAGAGGCCCACGCCCCGCCCCCCCTCCCCTTCCTTCCCCCCCTCACTCTTTCAGCCCTGGGTCTTTTTAAAATCTGTTCATTAAAGGCAGCTCAGTCGCCCTTCTGCCGGCGAGGCTGGAACACTGACAGCCTGTTTGCCCGCCTGTCTGTAATTAAACTCAATCTCGGGGTGAATACAACAATGTGACTGCACAGAATAATTCCTGGAGATCCTGACGCCGAGGAGGAGTGTGGCCTGTGAGCAGCCCATTCACGCCTGGATTGCTATAAATACTTTACTATGTGGCACTAAGAAAACTTCAAGCCCTACTCCCCCCCCCCCCCCCTTTTTTTTTTTTTATTAGTACTACATAATATAGGAATTGTGCGACTTGAAGGTTCCTCCTGTGCCTGCCTGGGTTCACAGGCCTGGGTGTGACCTCACACTGCACTGGCTGAGCACAGGAGCCTGCTGCCGTGCCCAGGGACCTCTGCGTTGTCTCCAAGCTGTGCCAGGGGATTGCAGGTGGCCCTGTGCACCCTCTGCTCCCTGGGAAGCATCCCTGGTTTGGCCGGTGCAGTACCACATCTGCACATGCAATGTGCAGGTGCATTGCAGATGTGCACACCCCAAGCTGCTGGAGAGGTAGGGGACAAGGGACAGGGCTGCAGACGGGCATGCCACTTTGCTGCTGGCAGCAGGCAGCCAGAATTCACGTGAGGCTAACGCTGCGTTTGCGCGGCCAAATGTAATGTTGGCTCAGCCTGGTGCTTTGGGGACAGCAGTGTGTGACAAGGACACGGCAGATGGCGCCCTGTCACCAGCTGCAGAAGGCTGGTGGCCCTCGGCTCCCGGCTGCGTGCTGCTGCGGCTGTGCAGCTCTGCAGCATTGCACTGCAGCTCTGCATCCCAGCACCACTTCGCTGCATCCCGGGCACTGTTGCTGCAAGCGTCGGCGCTGCGGTTCCGCATCCTGGCTTTGCACCTCTGCTCTGCACCCCTGCAGCCTTGGCACTGCCCATGCTGCCTCGGCGTGTCCTTAGCTTTGCATTTCTGCATCGCCCTGTTGCTGCCCTCACACAGGGATGCTCCCTAGCAGCAGAGCTGTGCCTTGCAGAAGCACTTTGTCCCCTTAGTGAGAGCCATGCAGCAGCTGCCACGCAGCAGAGATGTGGGGTGGAGTGACCAGCGGGCTTTCCCCCAATCTCTGAGCACAGCCCCATGCTGATGGCAGCCGAGACGCAGCCTGTGCCCTGCCAGGTTTGGGTTTGGAACTGGAACGTGCCTGGGGCTTGTTCCTGCCCTGGGCTTCCCTGCAGCACAAGGGCTCTGAGGGCATACAGGTCCCTCTGTGCTGAGCTCTCTTGGGTGATCAGAGTGGATAAGCAGGGTTAAGCCCCAAATTTGGGGGTTCTCAGCCCATTTTTTGCTTTAGGAGGGCTACGAGGATTTGAAGGGTTTCTGGAAGCTGTGAAGGGCTGGGTTTGGGGTCCAGCTGCAGGTCTCTGCTAGGGCAAGGGAAGAAGGAAGGGAGCCAATTGGGTTCTGCCCAGTGCGGTGCAGGGAGCAAACAGCAGCCTGCCATGGCTCAGCTGCTCTTGTGATGTATTGCTTAATCCTTGGCAGGGATTTGCCTATTTATTTATGATTTTGCTGCAAAGCACGTTGATATTTGGTGTTTTCATATAAACCTCAGCTCTTGAAGTCATGGGATTGTAGGAAAAGGCAAATCTGCTGCAGAGGGTCATAAGGTCTCACCTGGCTCATGGCAGGTTCATACAGTGGGATACTGATGGTGGTAAGGCTCTGCTCGCTGAAGTGGGTGTGAAGACCAGCAGGCAAGCAGAGAGACCCCAAGAGTTTCCTGTGATGTAGGTACACTTCTGTATCTCTGCAGGTTTGGGGTTGCACATGTGCTTTGCATTTGATGCAAATGCCCTCAGGGTAAAAATAGAAGTTGCTTGCTCTGAATGATACCCTGCTGTATTCTCATACCCACACTTTCCCTTGCAGATGGGGCGTAGGGGTTGCTGCATTCCCATGGCTGCTATATCAAACCCAGCAGGATTTGCAGTGTGTGGATTTATGCACCCCACAGGGCTGTTAGAGCATCTCTTCTTCCCGATGGGGACTGGTGGTTATCTTCCCACTGCCCCTGCATCTCTCCTCTGTCCTCAGATCCCTCACTTCAGGCTCCTGATGGCTCTCAGATATTGATAACACGGAGAGCTGCTGCTGTCTGGGGTATTTAGGTGATCCCATTGCTGTGGAATCAAATACATCCCGCATTCCCCATGCACAGGCCACAACTCTTGTGCTTTGGAGCTACAGTGCAATGCACCCTGAGGTGAACAGCATAGCGCAGAGCAGAGCTGCACAGAGGTAGTGAGGTGACTGGGTCTGGAGTTACTTCTGCTGTTATCACCCTGATTTTGCCAGGTGTATGCTGGGCATACACCAGGGCTGTAGGCATTGACATGCATCTTCCCTCAGCAGATGCCAGGACCTCCTGTTGCATGCGACAAGGGGCTGGGGTGTCAGGGCAAAGGATGCCAAGCCTGCTGCAGGGCTCTGTCTCCGTGCTGCCCCGTGGTGAGGTCTCCATGCCCTGGTGGCATCCCGTGGTGCCAATGGCCGGAGCCGTGGTGCCCGTGCCCCAGCTCCATGAAGTGCTGTCCCGTCTGTGCAACTCCTGGAGCTGCTGCAACTCCTGCCTCTTTCTGGTGCATGTTTATGGCTCGGAGGGAGCCGTCTTGCCCCAATTCCCCATGCACTCCTAATTTCATATGTCCATATATATCCATGCAGCATTTGATACAGGTTTTATGGGCATTTCCATACATTTTACAGACACAGCCATTACAGAGACAGGTTTCACCTGAGAAACCTCTGGGGACCAGAGCACTGAATCGCCTTAGTCTTGGCCTCAGAACAAGGCTCTCTTCTCTCTCTTGCCAGAGCTGCCGCTATCAGCTCTGCAGAGGGCTTGGGGATGGTGAGGGGCTGCCAAAGTCCTGCCCTGAGAGCTGTGACATGGCCCCTCCTTCCACCCTGCTTCTTGCTTCTGCAGGGCTCTGTCCTGTGCTGTGCAGTTGGGGCCTGCCTTCCCTTGTCACGCTCTGCTCAGCCCCCCATGCAAGGGTAAGCACGAACAGTATCTGGCCCTGCTTTGGGCTCCTGATCCCGCCATCTTCACACCATGTTGATGATGCACCAAGTAATTTTCCACTGTTTATCAGTGGTCCCATTTGCAAGGGAAATGCCTGCTCCCACTTGGGGCTGCCTCTATTTGATGCTGTGGGGACTGGTCCTCATTGCCCCGCCATCCCCAGCATGGCCTCAGCTATTCATAGCGTCTCCCCTCGCCCCTTTCAAAGGCTGCTGAAAGCCTGGGGTCCACCCCACTCTGTTTTCCTGAGCAGGTCCCGAAAGCAGGAACCATTTGTGGCTTCTCTGGCCAGCGTGTCTCTGCTTGGGCTCCTTGCGGGTGTTATTTTCTGTGCTGTTTACTGTTCTTCTGTGGGCTGTCAGGTTTCCGCACTGGGGAAAGGCTTGCAAATGGGGGGGGGAAGGGAGGAAGGGGCAGCAGGTCCACACGGAGGGGCTATGGGCAGAGAGGGGATGGAGGAGCACAGACATGGCCTTTATCGCAGCCTGGGGGATGTGTGGCTCATAAATCCGACTCAGGCAGATAGGGGATAAATCATCCCTGCTTGGGCATTGGTGGTTACCCATGGTTAGAAATTAACTTTGTGTTGGATGGGTCCCAGGCTGTGGGATGGGAAGGGGAGGCTGCTCCGGGCAGTGTGCCTCCCGCCCAGCCCTGGGGCCAGGCTGCAGCCGGAGAGTGGGTGCCCAGTGCCTGCCCCGGCCGGCAGGGCCGCTGGGTGCAATTAAGCTGTGAGCCGATGAAGCAAGCGGATGCTGTGGCCGAATCTGCGATGCGGGCGATGCCCTGGCACCTGCGGCAAGCTGGCCGCGCTCTGGTGTCTGGCTGTGGCTGCTGCACCAAGCTTGGGGAATGGGAAAGCACTGTGTGGGAGAGATGGGGACTTGAGGGGCAAGGTGTGGAGGGACGCGCTTGCCGTGAGGTTTCTCTCCCCGTGTAGCTGCCAGCCAGGGCTGGGCAAAGCTGTGGCTTTGCAGACCATGTGCGATCTCTGGTCCTTGTGTTTCTGCAGGTGGGAGGACACCGCAAAGACTACAGCCCCAGTTCCCCATCTTCTCCCTCTTCTCTGTCCCCAGCTCCCCCTTGAGCATCCCCAAACCTGCCCCATTCAGTGCCAGTGCATCCCAGGGGGATTTGACCCCTGCACCTGCAGCAGTCCCCCAAGGGTCTCTCCCATCCTTCTGCTCAGTGCCCACAGCTGGGACCCCACCACCCCCGTGTCCCACTGTGCCCACCAATGGGGCAGGGCGGTGGGGATGTTCCTTCCAGCTTCCAAGGCTGGGCTCACTCCCGGCTTGCTCTCTAATAGCTCTCCAGCTTTCCTTTCTAACGAGGCTCTAATTGGAAGCCGGTTGTGCTTCCCTTCCCCTCTCCTCAGAGCTCTCTGGTCCCAGTGGTGCAGGGCGATTAAGCTGAGGTTTTGGGTTTTTTTAATATGGCAGAATTATTTTGGAAGGGCCAGGATGGTTACATGACGGGCTTCTTGAAAAACCCCAGGCTTCGCTTTTCAGACGGGGCCTTTTCAAGTGGTTTTGCACAGTACACATCACTGGGCAGCGACCGTCTCGAACAGTTACTGTTAATTATAGATGCCTCTTTCCCGCTCGCCCATTACTCAAAGGATTTTTGTGTGTTTTAACAGTGTTTTACATCAGCCTGAATAAGACTTTATTCAGTATTTCCGAGAGTTGGAACTCGGGCATCCCCTGCTGTATGTGCTGTGCGTCCCTCTGCGTCTTGGGACTGGGCACCATCATGCCGGGCCCCTTGGATGTGCAGAGCCCTTTTGTTGGCTAGATGACCAACTGGGTGCCCAACAGGAGTCCTAGGGGAACTCTCCTAGAAGAAGAACTCATCACTTGTCCTGTGACAACCAAATTGCTCTGTGCATCCTTGGAGTCAGACCGTTCCCAGGGTGAGCCTCGCTTTAGGGCAGGGAGGCAGCTGAGGGTCACGGTGGTGTCGTCCAGGCAGAGCCCCTTGATGGTGGGATGCCATCTGGGCACCTCCACAACCTTTGTCTCCTGCAGCCCGGCGTATAGGGCACTGTGGTCAGGCCCATTTATAAAGCTGGTAAATATATCGGCAGGGTTTGTGTCCCCTCCAAAGGTCAATATTTGTGCAGAGTTTAATTTTAACTTAACAAGCAGTTGTTTGCAGACGCTGCCCTGTTTGTGAGTGTGTGTATGTGCTTCCCCACTGATCGATGCTCACAGGGTGCAAGCAGTGTGTGTGCGTGCGTGCACCCATGTGCCAGGCACTGAGGGCTGGCAGTGGGTGCCCACTCCCCAAATGCTGCGGGCTGAGGGATGCAGGCCAGCGCCATGCGGTCCAGAGGATACGGATGCTTTGGGGACAGGGTCTGTGGCTGAGGCTATAAATGCAACCCACAAACCTCTGGTAGAGGTGACAGCGGGCAAAATGTGCCCTGTGTGGCTCTGCACAGCAGCACATAGGGACAGTGGCTTCCCAGCCTGTTCTGACCAGTGCCGTGTGCTTGCTGCAGCTGCCCCTGCTCTTTCCCTCACTATCCCCCCGTGAGCCCCTGTGGGTTTTGTGGCTCTCTCTCATTTTCTGGCAACGCGCAGCTCCAAGCTGAGCACGTCAGTCAGGCTTTGTGCAGGGCTTGGGCTCCCAGTGCTGTCCCCTGGCTGCTCTCATGATCCAAAAAATGTCATGGTGCTCTTCCAGCATCACTGCCAGACCAATTTCATCCCTCCCTGGCTGAGCTTCCACCTTGCCAAGCAGGGTAATGTGGCACCGCAGGCACACCTGTTCCTGGCTGAAGATGATGGCAATTTGGAGAGATCCAGAGGCAGATGTCCTGGTGTCTTGGTGTTCTGTCTTTCTGCTCCTCCAGCCAAAATCCAGTGTCATGGGTCTGGCTACATGTCCCCAGCTTTATCCCAGCAGGTCTGGGGGCAGGCATGTAGCCCCTTGGGATGCAGATCCTCATGGGTACCTGCAGAGCATCCCTGCCTGACTCTGATATTCACTCTCAGCCCATCTGCAGGAAAACAGGAGAACAGCAATAGGCATGGCCAGGGCAGGATCTGCGAGACACAGCTGGGATGAGAGCTGTGCACCGATGGTCCCTCAAGGCTACCTCCCTTACGGCAGGAGGGGAGCACATGGCCGGGAGAAGTAGGGCTGGGAGGGAGCTACCAGGGCTCCGTGTTTTGCAGCCCGCCTTTGTGGGCAATGAGGTTTGGTTTCCGTCTTTCTGCTCTTTTCCTCTTCCTCGCCAGGCCCTGGGGCTGCTGACCTCAAAGGGAAAGCAGGCTGCGAGGGACAGCATTGGGGCCAGGCAGGGGTAAACATGGGGCTGAGGCTGGCCAGGCAGTGGGTGACGGGGTGAGGTCATGCCGTGACGTCAGCTCTGTGGCTTTGGGGACAGCCGTGGTTAGGCTGCCTGAGGAGGGGCGGCTTGTTTTCCTGCAGCTCTGCTGCTTGCTCCCGGTGCCCGTCTAACTTATAAAGTTTAATGGCCAGTTTAAAAGGTTCCTGCCATGGGCACCTTGTTGCCAGTTTTAGGTTTTTAATTGGGAAACTTTCCCCTCTGTGGTTGCGGTGGAAGGACTCAGGTCCACTCGGGGCTGGTAATCGGGATGTGCGGGTGCTGAGGAGATGCTTTAGAGGGCTCTATTCCCATCACCAGTATCAGTGGGATATGCATAGCATGAAGGGCAAGCTGCAGAAGACCCGTACTCCCCCATAGTCCACACGCTTGTGGAATACACTCAGCAACCTGCTCCTGATTGGTGCTGGGGACACATGTTGCTGCAGGAGCATCATTATCCCATGGCCCTTGGGAGATGCTAGGAGTCCTCGTGCCCTTCTCCAAGTCCATCTCTGTGTTCCTGTGCTGCATGCAGGTGGCCAGAGCAAGGCAGCAGTCCCACTGTGCAGGCTGTGAAGCCATGCTGTGAGCATCCCAGTTCCCAAGTGGATCTGGGGCAGTTCTGACTGAGGCTGCTGGGAGCTCCAAGGCAGAGCAGGCAAAGAGTGTGCACCTTACGGGTTGAACTCCCTTTGGGTGGGCACCCGGAGCACAATCTATAAATAACATGCGGAGAAGTGCTCTGGAAAGCAGAGGAGTGGCCTTGGTTTACCAGCACGTTCCTACCATGGCTTTCAAGTGGTTCCCCTGTGTGTCCCTGCCAGCTGCTGGCACATCTGCACCCTGGGGGCTGTGGGGTATGCCGACAGAAGGTGGGCTGCTCTCAGCCGCAGTGCACCCAGTGCAGTGCCACGTGGGCACGGAGCTGGTGCTGGAGTCCCAGAGCAGCGCTGCCTTTGCCAGGCTTGTAATTGATTCCTGTTCTCTTTCTTGAGCTGTAGATGTGCTGGCATCCACTGAAGAGACATGTTTTTTGTGTTTTGAGGTGGTAAGAGAGGCTCGCATCCTCAGCTTCTGGAGGCAGGGGGTTTGAGGGGACCATGGCCACACTGTTTTGGGGCTGATGATAAATAATCCTACGCTGAACAAAAAGGAAGTAGAAAAATGTAGAATGGAAACAGCAAGGCTTTTAAAAAGGGGTGGGCAAACCCATCAGTGCAAGGCATTGCTGCATGGAGCAGGCAAGGGCTGGAGCATGGGGATGAGAGCAGAGCGCACAGATCCTTAGCATAGGAGGCACCAAGGTGGACGAATGGAGGAGCAGGAGGAAACGTCCGTGCAGCAGGAGGAAGAGAGCCTGGCAGCACTCCAGGCATGCTGCCGGGCTGGGTGTGATTTCCTCTTCGCCATGCATGAAGAGCTGGCCAGCATCCCTACTCTGGGTGAGCATGGAGCAGAGCAATGCTGCTGTCACAGAGTTCAGAATTTGGATTCCGTAGTCTTTGACAGCATGGCAGCCATGAGAGCTGTGGGAAGTGGCTGGGAACATCCTGCACCTTGCCCCAGCCCTGCAGGTGCTGCTCAGCTTCCAAAACTAAACCTCACAGGGCAGAGATAGATGGGGGTGTGGTCCCTCTATGTCCCCGCAGCCCCGCTGGGACCCCATCTCTTTCTTAAGAGGGGATGCTCCTGACAGGGTGTTTTATTTGCAGCAGGTGCCTGAAATCCAACCCACTGCCCTGCGCTCCTTCCCCTCACCTGGGGATGAACCCGGGCGGGGGCACGGCTGCGCAGGGTCAGACCCCTATGGGCTCCCCCTGGCCAGGGTTATCCTCATGTAACACCAATGAACTGCTCCTGCTGTGGGCAACAAGCGTGTAATGCCTGATTTCACAGCACCAGCGTGCTGGGTTTGCTTGTGGCAATGATCTTCTTTCCTGGCCAACTCTGACCTGCAGCCCAAGGACACTTGTCACCTCCCGATATGAGTACCATGATGTGCTCAGCCAGCCCTCCTTTCCGCGATTGTTCTCTCCCGGTGCCACTTCCTGCTCATCCCCCTGCACCCTGCATTGCTGGCTGAGCTCATTCAGCTCTGGCTGGGTTTACAGCATGGAATGCAGAGCTGCCACTGGCCGTCCTCCAGCCTAAACATCCCCACCCCATGGTGCGACACGAGCTGATAATGCAGCAGGTATCTCGTGCCCAGTCCGCGACCTACGGGCGCATGGCCTTGGAGGCTGTCACTTATCTCCTCCGTGCGCTCACGCTGTCTCTCATCCCCAAGCAATGTTCTCAGCGCCTCTGGTTTTTGCTCTGGGCCAAACCCACATGCACATTGCCCGAGACCGACTCCGAACAGGCTCCTTTGATGAGCAGGGCTTAAATATATATTTGGCATTCCAGCGGCAGCATGCCGAGCGTGGCCTGGGGTGTGAAAGTGTTTGCTTGACAAACGCTGGAGACTCTCGCCTCTCTGCCGGCCCTGGGGACTCACAGGAGAGAAATGTCAAGAAATTTTTCACCTCTCTGTTTTTATTTTGCTTTTACTTTGTTTTCCTTCTGAGGGCACATTTGTAGTGCTGGTGATTGGCAGTCCCAAAGCCTGAGTTCCCCTCCTTCCCTGGGTCGGAGATGGGTGAGATCACCATCCTCAGTGCCCGTGCAGCAAGGGGTCCGTGGAGCTGGGCTGCAGAGCCAGGACGGTTCTGCATGGGGGGGATGAAGAAGGCAGAGCATGCCCTGCTCTCCAGGTGTGGCAGCCTGCACCCCAACTATAAATGGGGAGGGGGTCCTGTGGCACCTGATTTGGTTTCAGAGCTCATGTCTTCGGTGCATGCTAGAGCAGGTCGAGTTGGGGAGGGGGTAGGGGACTGAGTCTGTGTGTTCCCAGCTGTCCCTGTCATAATCCCTCCTGAAAGAGAATCCTCTACTCTGCTTCATCCCTGTTTATCTGCCAGCAGTGCGCCCTGGCCCTAAATCACCCCCTGCATCCACTGATGGATGCTCCCACTGTTGGGATGCTGGGGTCTTTGGGGCTAAGATTTGGATAAGGAAGGCGGAACAGGGGTGAGGGCCTGAGGGACTATGAAGAAGGAGGGTTATCCCCAGGGCTTGGCTTGGGCTCTCCGAGATTTCCTTCCCTGCTTGCTGAAGAATCACTGGCTTGTCTGGTGGAACGCAGGCCCATGGATTTCCTGGGCAGTGAGCCCCTTTCATGTGGCCGCTCGCAAACTCTCATGACATCACTGGGGGCTGCTCCTCCTGGAGACAAACCCAGTGCTTTTTAGGACTTTGCCACCCCATGCCCCAGCCTGTGTGTTTTGGCCAGGGGGACCCAGGGAACTGCATCCAAGAACGTCTGCTCTGGCACGGAGACGGCATGGGGCCACGGTCAGGGGGAGAGCAGCGCGTCCCCTGCTGAATAAACATGGGCTGGCCAGGCTGGAGGGGGCTTTTCCAGGTTGGACCACACCCCGGGGGGCTATTTTTGCCATGAATGAAGGGGCTGTGTGCTCGCCAGGCAGCCTAGCCTCCTGCCACTGCTGCTGTGCTGAGAGCAAGCCTGACACTCAATCTGCTGCCTGGCCAAAACCCAACATCTGTGCTGAGCAGCTGGGCACTGCCCATGGGACAGCTGGGCATCACAGGGACACCTGGGCACTGCCACAGGTGGGCTCTGCTCAGGTGGACATTTGGGCACTGCCACAGGTGGGCTCTGCTCAGGTGGACATTTGGGCACTAGGGGAAAAACTAGGCACCATGGGGGTACCTGGGCATGGGCACAGTTGATCAGTGCCTGCAGGGACACTGGCCACCAGACTCACCTGGTCACCACCCAGAAGGGACATCTGCATCACCATGGCACTGGTGATGAAGGGGGTGTGTCCCTGTATTCTCTGGGCAAGGTGGTACCATGCCAGGGATGGTGCTGGCTGCAGGAAATGGGAAACATGGGCTGTCACCAGCAAGGAGAGGTGACAGTGACTCAGTGGTGGTGCCAGCAGTGGTGCCAGTGCTTCTGGGGCACGTCAGACCCTGTACTGCTAACCCACTCTGCCAGCAAGATGCCTGTATTAGCTCAGGGATTAGCCCTGCTGTCCCCTCTACATTTCCTGCTGCAGTTTCGGTTGAGGATGGGACAGTGTCCCAGGGGCAGCCCCCCCTGGCCGGTTGCACCCATGCCAGGAAGGAACTGCAAAGCCACCAGGGAGGAGCAGCTCAGCCTGGTCCTGAGCGCACCCAAATTTGCCCCAGAGCTCCTAATCTCACTTGGCTCAGCCCCAAGCTTCTTCTGCTTGGAGCCTTGGTGGTGCAGCTAATCCCCAGTTGGCTCAGGATCATGCTAGGTGCAGTACCCCCCACCACTCTCAGGCTTTGCTTTCCAAGGGGCTGCTCTGCCCATCCTCTCCTGCTGGCATGGCACAAGCCCCAGTTGTCCCCTCCCTGCCCCATGTTCTCACTTCTCAGCCAGTATCTCTGCCCCAGGGGAGCCATGAGCTTGTCTGTGCTGGGTGGAGCTAGGGCACAGCATCCCACTCGCCACTGTCCCTTATTGCCGCGTGGCACCCATGTGATTCATCAGGTGTGGCTTCGTTTCCGTCACCCCACTTTGCAGGAAGTTTCTTGGCCAGCCCCCTAGGTGCCCTGAGCAATAACAAGCCAGGATGAGCTGGCCGACCTTCCTGAGAAACCCTACAATAACAAACTGGCGCTATGTGTCCAGCTTTCCTGGATGGACAATAATAAACCAGCATGAGCTGGCATGCCTCACAGCGCAACCCTGCAATAATGGAGCTGGGTGATGTGTCCACCCTACACAGTAGCAAGCTGGCATGAACCAGCCAGCTACCTTGCCAAGAGGGGTCCCCAGGAAAAGCTGGATGCTGGGTTCAGGGCTGGCACATGCCTGCAGCCAGCATGGAACTGGGTGTGCCACAGCAGCCCCTTGTCCCTGGTGCAGCTGTACCATTGCCTCACCGACTCTCCTTTCCCCTGGATTCATCCCTGGGACCTGGAAGAGCAGCAGGAGGGCAGGGCAGGGCAGGGCAGGACCCCAGCATCCCCACTACCGTGCAGCAGCACAATGCGCTGCATGCTGTAATCCAACCCGCGGGAACAGCACAAGGGGAAAAGAAAAGAGTATTGAGCAGCGGGCCGCTGCGGTCACCGGGCTGCATAGACTGCTGGTTGTTAAGCGGGTGCCTCGCTCGCAAAGGCCGCCTTGATGAAGTGTGAGACGGCACTTACGGAGGGACGCGGGCAGGCATTCTCGCTCCATCTTCCGCTCACAGTGCCGCTCTTTATGCGCCTGACATTTGCTTGCTGGAAAGGCCTTGAAAGTAGGGGGAAAGGAAAACATCACCCACAGCAGGGCCATGAGTATTGCCGGGAGGAGTGTGGGGCCGAGCCAGGCTGTGCCGTGCCGTGCCGTGTCAAGCTGTGCCAGGCTGTGCCTCTTGGCCGCCCTGGCTTTGCCGCCTGCTGTTCCCTGGGGTGACCCCATCACCTCTATCACCTCTCTGAGCTCCGGGCTGCCTTCTCCAGCCGGCACAGACGCTTCCTGCCAGGTGTGTGCAGTGCTGGCTCCATGCCGGGGAAGCCCTGGCCATCCTACCCTTCCTGCACCGTGCCAGCGCCTCTCCTGGCTGCTGCTGCTGCATGCCTGCATGGGATGAGGTGCTGGGGACATTGCAGGGTCAAAGCTTGGGCACATCCCTCTATTGTCTCTTCCCTTGATCCCAACCAGAAGGTAGCAACTCGAATGTGTCCTCCCACAGGTAGGACCCTTTGCTGGTGGCACAGACCTGTGTTCTTCTCTGCTTGTCCCAGGGTGAATCTTTGGCAGCACAAAGCCTGCGACGGGGAGGGTGGTAGCAGCCAAGCCATGAGGCACAGCAACGCCCCAGCAATGAAGCCATTCTCCTGCCCACCACAGGCTGCTTGCTGCAGTATCACCAGACTTTGCTATGTCAGTGCAGTGCCAACTGCCATGCTCATCCTGCTCCCAGGCCACTGCTCCACTACGCTGCTTCTGCAGATCTGCTGTTGGGGCCAACCCGGGAAAGCCTTCCACCCCCCCCATTCTCCCCCTGTGGCACACACCCCTTGGCTCCTGGCCCCTGTAGGAATTATTAAGTGTGCCCCTGTGGAGCATGTGCTGAGGCTGGCCACGGGAATGTGGGCAGATCTGACATACAAGCCACAGCAGCCAGGCTGTAATTTCCAAACAGGCCCTGTTCACTCTGTTTTCCAGTTAAAAATATATTAAAAAATAGGAATGTGGGGTTTGCAGTGAAGAATGTTGGTAACCGCTTCGAACGTCTGGTGTGATAATGAAAGGGTCAGTCCCCAGCTTTGAGCGCGACCGATTTAGACTCTGGTGCTTGGCACGAGCGTGGGGGCCCAGCACGGCCCCTCCGTCCTGCAGCCCTGTGCCAGGGGATGGTGACGCTGCTTCACCCATGGGTGACATGGACAAGGGGACATCCGAAGTCCCATCTCTTACGGGCCCTTGCAACATCTCTTACGGGCCCTTGCAAAGGGAGTGTGAGCAGGGATGGGTGAAGGCAGGGCGATGGGGATGAATGCTGTGTCTGGGCTGCATCTCCTTGTGAGCTGTCCTTGCTGAGCACAGGTGCAGTGCCCTAGCCCCCCCTTCCCGGGCAGCCCCCCCAGCTTGGCTAATCGCAGTGTTCAGGCTGTGCTACTGAGCATCCCGTGCCGGTGCCGCAGCCTTGAGCAGCTCCTGATACTGGGGCACTGCTCTTGGCCTTGCAGGCAGGTAGTCATAACATGGGGTGACCCCCCCTGCCAGCTCTCCAGGCACCACAGTGGGGGAACCTGGCTGGCACCCCTTGTGTCCCGGTTCCCACAGAGAAGTAATCAGAGAAAAACAAAAGGCTCCAGCAGTCAGGGCTGAAGCCATACTGGGGACAACAGACTGGCTGCAGCAGGGTATGGCTCTGCGATGTGCTGAAGCCATGGGGCAAGTAGAAAGGAGATGTCACCCACAGCCACATCTTGTCTCTCTACCAGCCCCTCTGAGGAGACCTTCTTGTCCCTCACATCCTCCGGGGCCATCAGGTGGCCACTGGCTGGCACAGCACACTCTGCTCCCTGCTGAGTCACAGCTCTATGGAGAAACTCTTCCAGCTCTGCTCATAAATTCATTGATTTCCCTTCAGGTCCGTGCCTAGCAGCTTCCCATCCCACCCTGCCCAATGGCTCAGAGCTGCCTGCTGACTCCCAGATTCCAGCGCAGGCTTTCAGCAGCCCCTTCCCAGAGCCACAGGCCCTGTACCTGCAGCCCTGACTGCTCCCAGGGATTGCTCAGTGGCAGGGGACAGCAGCAGGGTGCTGGCACCAGCACCAAGTGGCTGTGCAGGGACTCCCCTGTCCCACAAGGGCACTGACCCACACAGTGCTATCTGGTACACTTTGCTCACTCTGCTGCCGTTCCTGGCTTTCCTGGGAGCTGCTGTTTGCTTTTCTCTGAATTATGACTCCAGTTCATGCCTTTGATCTAGGCTGTATCGGCCACCCGATGCCAGCCCCTCTGCTGCCTTTGAAGTACAGTCAATCTCCTTCCCAGCATTGGACACTGCTTTTGCAGCCTCAGGAGCAACCCTGGCCCTGGGAGTCTGAGACATCTAGTGCGAGAGCTCCCGGGGATGTGCAAGGCGCTCAGCATCCCTCATCCTCTCCTGGATCTCATGCTGTGCCAGCATTGCACAAAGCCCAGAGGTGGCAATGCAGGGTGGTGAGCAGCCCCAAGGACGCTGTAGGGCTTGGACCAGAGCACTGCTGTCTCCTTTGGCAGTGGGCAGGGACACAGATGCTGGCCAAAAAGCAGGCCCCAATGACTTGTCTGTCCTGCAGCTAAAAGGTCTTCCATGCTTTCTACTCCAGCAGGAAGTCTGAGAGCTGCGGAGAAGGTGCCATTCTGGACGCTATCACTGCCCTCCCTTCCTAGCACAGAGTGCCAAGGGTCTTTGCCTGCCCGCTCTGCCCTTGGGATGCTGTCCCAGGCTCTGGGCTCTGGCCTTGAGTGGGTCTGAGTGTCCCCATCCCCTCCCCGCTTCCCCATCCTGGGGAGGAATCAGCCTTATCTGTTACACTTTGTTCCCCTGCTGTTTGGGTGTGGAGCTGTGCAGAGGTTACTGCCGGACCTTTGACACACACACATACATGGAGACACAAACAGCCCCACGTGCATCCCTAGCTACACTCATCACACATGCATACACCTGCACATGTGTACGGCTGCACATCACTGAGCAACCCCCCTCAGATGCATTTCCCCAGCCCTGCAAGCACACCTACTTTCCTGCACCCCTTCATAGCTGTTGTGCCCTAGGCATCCTCCAAGGTCCCTGCACATGTTGACACAGCCCTTATGCTGAGAGCAGCATCCCTCAGCGGGCACGGGCATGAGGGGGATTTCTCTGCATCAGCACTGGATGTGGCTTATGCTGCTTGTGCAGGCATCGCTGCACAGGAGACTGTGACAAGGCAGGGGCTCCTTGCCCCCCAGTGTGCCTGGGGTCCTGCCCATGCCAAAAGCTTTTGTGCCTTATCAGCATGCCTCCACACTGCTTCTGCTGGGGAAGCCACAGCCCTTCCCATGTGATCTTATCTTCAGCAGCTCATGAATGACCATGCGAGCAGCTGCCCTGACCTCTGCCATCTTCCTCCTAATGGGAAGGCAGAGCAGGTGTGCAGCTGTGTGTGTGTGTGCGTGTGTGCCCATGTGAGCATGTGCATGCACAACTAGGGAGCATCTGCATGCCTGCAAGTGGTCGTGCAGCATCAGGGCAGAACCATGTTGTGGTCTCCACGGTGAAGCGCAGAGTCCTGCAGGTAGGCACACACAGCCCCTTCCCTGCTGTCCAGCACAAGGCAGGGTGGTCTGGCAGGAGCTGGCTGCCCCCGGGGTTGTTCCAGACCCTAATGCTGGCAGTGGGGTGACTGTGTCTGGCCTCTCCACAGAGCCTGCCCCAAATCTGCAGTGCAGGAGATGGACACGCATTCACCTCCGCTCTGCGGCAGCTCTACATGGCAGTGACGCTGCAGGAGGCCAAGCTGGCTCGGAAACGGCATCACCCAGGTGAGGAGCTCCTGGCTGGGAAGTGGGGGAATGTGGAATACTCCTGGGTCAAGCCCCCTTCCCAGGGGAACGGGAATGAGGTCCTGGATGCAACCGACTCCCCTTTACTTTGAGCTGAGCTCCCTTTGTTCCCAGCATGGGCTTGGGTGATACTCTGTGTTTCCTCAGCTCAACCCCAAATTGCATCTCTCCCTTCCGGCACCAGAGGACACTGAGGACCTGGCGCCTGCTGCAGAAACCTCAGGGCACCCCGACCCGGCGCCCCAGTCGCCAGTGGACGAAACAGCATCTTTGAGCAAGGAAGCCACGGTGAGCACGATGCTGGGAACAGCCTGTTCTTGCCAGCAGAGGGATGGGGCTTCATGCACTGGCAGGGGATTGAAGCCAGCTGTTGCATGCTCTGCTGCCCTCAGTGCCCAGCCTTGTGCAGCCCAGCCCTGTGCCCCACCAAGGTGGGCCGGTGGGCTTGGGTTGATTTCTAGCACATCGCACTCCCTGTATACACTGACTGGGAGACACATGGGCTTGTTGCACACACGTACTGTTGCACTTCCCCATGGGGTGTCACTGCTCCCATTTGCACCCATCCTGCACCAACCCCCCCAGGGGGCTGACATTGCCTCCCCTTTGCTCACAGCCGACCTCCTCCCCAGTGCAGAAGCCCCGACTACCTGTGGCCAAGGCCAAGCCGAAGAAGGCAAAAGGGCTCTTCAGCTGAAAGGTTGCTGCTGCTGTCCTGAGGGTCTCTGTCCCACAGCACCTAAGAAAGGCTGTGTGGATCACCACATGTCCTATGCCTCATCTGCATCTCCCTGTGGATTCTTCTGGGGTCATTCCCCACTGCCGAGGAGAAGGAATTTTTTGTCCACCTGTTAATATCTCAGGGAATTCTTTGTGCTTCTGCCCAGATGCAGATCCCAGGCTGCCTATGTGGAGCTCGTGCTGGACCTGGGGGTAGTGGGAGGGATGCTACCAGGTGGGTGCCCAGACAGAAACTGCAGGGCTCTGGTGAGGTGTTCCTTTGGCTGGAAGACAAAGTCCTGCCCTTTGCAATAAAGGTCTGCATCTGGGTGATGTTCCTTCTTCCTCTGCTCTGCCCCCCTCAGCCCATGGTGCTGAGACAGGGGTGCAACCTCTGGTGCAGCATATTATAGATTCTCTCTGTATTCAAAGTATAATTTCTACCCCCTCACACACCGTCCATCCTTCCTTCCTTCCTTCCTTCCTTCCTTCCTTCCTTCCTTCCTTCCTTCCTTCCTTCCTTCCTTCCTTCCTTCCTTCCTTCCTTCCTTCCTTCCTTCCTTCCTTCCTTCCTTCCTTCCTTCCTTCCTTCCTTCCTTCCTTCCTTCCTTCCTTCCTTCCTTCCTTCCTTCCTTCCTTCCTTCCTTCCTTCCTTCCTTCCTTCCTTCCTTCCTTCCTTCCTTCCTTCCTTCCTTCCTTCCTTCCTTCCTTCCTTCCTTCCTTCCTTCCTTCCTTCCTTCCTTCCTTCCTTCCTTCCTTCCTTCCATCCTTCCTTCCATCCTTCCCTCCATCTCTTCATCATCCATTCCTCCTTCCATCCATTCTTTCCTTCATCTTTCCTTGCATCCCTCGATCATCCCTCCCTCCCTCCTTCCCTCCCTCTATCCTTCAGTCCATCCATCCATCCGTCCATCCATCCGTTCATCCCTCCATATATGCATTAACCCTTCCTCTCCTCTCCCAGCTCTTGCCTCCACGTGCTTCCCTTTGAAGCTGGGAAGCCACTCCCATACCCAGTCCAGCTCCTAAAATAGCAGCAGGGTCCCGTGCCCCTGCCTGCCCCTGGCTCCCCTGGGCTGGGCTGGCCGCAGGCTCACTGCTTTCTCTCAAGGGCAGCAAGGGGGAAACAAAAACATCCGGAGCAGCCCCTGTGTCTGTAGAAGGGGAATGAAAGGGCCTTTGCAGGGCCATGGCCGGCCAGTCCCAGGGCGAGAGGTTTTTATACTTCCTCTCCAAGGGAGCAGCATGCGGGGCAGAGTGGGTGATGGGAAGGGAAGCCATGGAGTGGGGATCCACACAAGCCTATACCCTTGTGTCCTGCCTTGTCCTGTCTGAGTACAACCCAGGAACCTTTGGAACAGGCGCCTGTGGGCTGTAGGGCAACGGGGGCACTGGGGCTCTCTGGGCTTTCCCAACCACATTGCTTTCTCCTGGGTGAAAGAGCTGGGGCTGTGCCCCATCTCCAACATGGGTCAGCACTGCTTGGAGGGCATGAGCTGCAGGCAAGGACCTGCTGCTGAAACACATCCTGTCCCAGGGCATGGGAAGGATGGGCTGCAGGAGCAGAGATGAAAGCAGATCAGAATTGTCAGTAGGAAAAAGAGCTCTGCCAATACCCCCAGCCCCATGGCTCCAGAATGGGGACAAGGTGCCTTCCCGGCCCAGGTTGACGCCAGCTGCGGGAAGTGTCACCTCGCATTGTCCCAGCCTGGCCTGCTGGGGTCTCCTTCCCTGTCCCCACCCCCTCCTCCCTGGAGCCGGCTGGATTTGAGCTTCCGACACACATTAAAGGCCACAAGTTCGGCCTCGGCCTCCATAAATTTGATTCCATAAATATTAGTTTTCGCAGGGTTTAATGAAGCCGTTATGCTGGGCACGGCCCAGCACCCCGACCCGTGCCCTTAATAAGGGCTCTGTGGCCTCGATTAAAGGGACCTTTCAATCGCTGTCAAGTATTTTTAGAAAAGGAAAAGAAAAAAAAAAAAAAAAAGAGAGAGGAGAAGAAGACGACCAAGGAGGCGAATAGGGAGAGGAAAATCCCAAACCCAACCAGTGCAAAAATAGAGAAATAGCACCACCTAGACTGCATCTCCCAGCTCCGCTGCCTGCTTGCTCTGCACTGTGCTCTGCTCCGGGCAGCCCTGCGGGGCCTGGTGCCAGCCCAGTGCCAGCCTGGTACCAGCTTGGTATCCACAGGATGCTGATGGCTGGAGGCTGCGGTGCCATTGGTTGAGGGGTGAAGCCAGAGAGTGGAGGAAAGGGGGACTAGAGCGAGGTGAGGACACAGCCAGGAGGACTGTGTGGGGTTGGTCCTGAAAGTGCCTAAGAGTAGCTGGCGGCTGCAGGAGATGCTGGAAGGTAATTCCTCTCCATGCCCCAGTGCTGCAGCTGCAAACGCCCTTTTCCACCAGTCCCTGGGCAGACAGCCCCCTACACTGGCTGCCCAGCCACACCTGGGGTCCTGCCCCATGTGCTGGCAGGTATACAGGTTGGCATTGGGATATGGATGCTGTGGTCAGTGCTGAGCCCAGTTTGTGTCAGTCCCACTGGAAGAGGTTGTGGAGAGCTCAGCAGTGTCCCCATCCACTCCTGGGGTGCTTCCTGGTGGGCTGCTCTTCATATCCAGGCAGTGTTAATGAGCAGGTAACTCTCCCATGTCCCACTTCCCGTGCAGGAGTTGCGCCATCCCCACAGATCACTGCTGCATGGACATACAGCAGGCTCTGCATCCAGGGGCAGAAGCCTGTCACTTCTTTCCGTGCCCAGAGCTGACGCAGGGTACTGGGACCACTGGTGCTACAGTCACAACCAAAGTCAGTTCCCTGTTTGCAGCTCTGGGTCTCCAGGGGATACGGATTTTGTTCCAGTGAGGGCAGAACCAGGCTGCTGCCAGTCTGGAGCTGGACAGGGGACAGGCACATGTAATATGCATGCTGCAGAGTCTGTTTGAGTCTGGCTTTGGATTACAGAGGCAGGGAGGTGGGATCGCCCCTCCAGCAGAAGTGCAGAGTAGCCTTCAACCTTAACTGAGGCTCTGCTCCTCCTGTGCCTGCGATGTACAGTGAGCTGTGCCCTTCCTGCAGCCCCAGAGGAAGGCACAAGGAGAGGTGCTGTGACAGCTCTCTGCTCTTCCTGCTGACTCTTGTAGGATGCTCTTCTGGAAGAGTCAACCGAGATGTGCAAGTGTTGGGGCTGGGGACCGTAGGTATTGCTTCTTGCTCCATCACATATGGGAGCAGCAGGACACCACGCATCCCAGGTTGTGGCAGGGCTTTGTGCAAGCTCTGACCCTGATGCAGACACCTCTCGGCAACTTTGCTCTGCCTGTATATCCTGCAAAGGAAACAGTCCTCTGGAGCTGCTGGGTAGCAGCATCCCAAATGCACGGGTGCTGCTGGCTGCATCCAAATGCCTGGATGGCTCTGTCTCCATCACCCAGCGCAGACCTGCAGCTATTCCAGCCTGGCCCTCCAGTGTGCCCACCCAAGGGATGTGAGGGGCCATCCCTGCCAAGGTGGTGTGTATAGGGCCATCCCAAGGCACTGCCTCACCTGGGAAGGACATAGGGAACTTGCAGGGGTGCAAGCAGAGTGTGGCCAGACCCCTCCCCGGCATGCAGCTGGGGGAGAACCAGGGGGGCCTCGCGAACCCTCGCTCCTGAAATCAGGGTGTTGTATTTACTTTCCCCTTTTGGCAGCTAGAAGGGGAAGCCCATCCCAGCCCCTCATTGTTGTCTCAGCGAGTTAATCAGATGCCATAATCCTGTTGTGGAAATATCGGGCCTCCCTGGAAACAATGGGGAGCGAGAATATTGTGGTTAAATTTCAACCAGCTGCCTCCCTGCTCTGTTTGATCCCCGCCCGCAGGCCCGGGCCCCTGGCGAGCAAGCGGCGCGGCGGGGGCCGGAGCCCGGGGGTGCCATCTCGTGCCCGGGGGCGTCCCGGGGCGAGGGGCGTCGGGCCGGGCGGACGGCGGGGGCGGCCCCGAGGGGCAGGTGGCGGGGTGGGCTGCGGGGCTCGGCCGGTGGGAGGAGGCTGCGGGCGGCCCGGGGCAGGTTCCGCGGGGAGGAGGCGAGGGAGGGAGGGCGCTGGGAGGCAGGGACACGGGCAGGGTGCGGTCCTGGCGGTTCCCGGTCCCGGATCTCTTCAATTTCCCCTCTCACTCCTGCCCGGGGAGCGGAGGCAGCGGCGGCTCCGGCTCCGGCTCCGACTCCGACCCCGGCCCCGCAGTGCTGACCGCCTGGGCGCAAACTGCGGGGGGCTCCGGCAGCGCCGAGCCCCGCGCCCCGCGCCCCGCAAGCGGCCGCTCTCCTGCCAAAACAAACGGCCCTTCGCTATTTATTGCCGCCGCCGGGGCACGGCAGCTCAGAGCGGCACGACAGCGGGCGGCCGCCGCACCGGGCAGCCGGAGCGCTCCGGGCAGCCGCCGCGCCCGCACCCGCAGCGGCACCTGCGCGCCGCATGGGGAGCCCCGGGGCGGGCGGCGGGAGCGGCGGCCGAGCGTAGCGGGGCCCCCGGAGCCGCCGGTCCCCCTTCGGGCCGCCCCGGGGCCGCCGGGCGCGCCATGAAGCCGGCGCGGCTGCTGCTGCTGCTGAGCGGGTGCGCGCTGCTGCTGACGCCGGCCGTGCGCGGCTGCGGGCCGGGCAGGGTGGTGGGCAGCCGCCGCCGGCCGCCCCGCAAGCTCATCCCGCTCGCCTACAAGCAGTTCAGCCCCAACGTGCCCGAGAAGACGCTGGGGGCCAGCGGGCGCTACGAGGGCAAGATCGCGCGGAACTCTGAGCGCTTCAAGGAGCTCACGCCCAACTACAACCCCGACATCATCTTCAAGGACGAGGAGAACACCGGCGCCGACCGGCTCATGACCCAGGTACGGCCCCGCCGCCGCCCGCTTCTCCCCCCGCGCCGGGTACCTGCGGGCACCGGGCTGCCAGCACGGCCCGTTCGCTCGGGCGGGAGGCGGAGACCGGCGCTGCGGCCGCCCCATCCTGCCCCGGGCATCCCGGTGCCGCACGGGCATCCATCTCCCTGCTTCGCCGCACTGCTCTGCCCCTTCGGTGGGGCTGGGCGCGTCGGAGCCGGAGCCGGCAGCACCCCGGACCCCGAGGTGGCAGCACCCACGGCTGCTATACACCGCAAGGTGTGCCTGGTACCCCCGAGCTGCTCGCGTGCTGCACTGCTATCCCCCCGAACCGAGTCCCACTGTCCCCTGGGCTGGCAGTCCCCTGCTCCGCTGTGCCTATCCTATTTGTGCACCTCTGCTCTGCGTACTGGGGGTCACAGCATAAGCTCATGGAGCCCAGCGTGCTGGCGACGAGTGGGCAGAGCAACAAGTTTATCCCACTCCCTGTCCTTATCTCCCGTGCTATACCTCAGTGTTCAGAGTAGGAGGTTCCCTCGTGTTCAGAGTAGGACGGTAAAGGGTGCCTGGCATGGGGCTGCCCCTCCTGGGTATGGAGAAGGGAACAACCTGTTGTTGCAAATGTTCTGCTGTTGCATTCAGCTTCAAAGTGCTCTGAACCAGTGGGAAGGAGGGGGATGGACAGAGGACAGCAGCGGGTGGAGGGGGTGATGCTGGACGAAGGTTACTCTGTGTTTTAATATTGCCAGGAGAATGCCTGAGGGTTTCAGGAATGCAGATAAGGAGCCACACGGCCTTGCTATAAGAAACCTGGTCATCGGCCTCAGTGCGGGGTTACAGCCCGAGCGAGCTGCTGGGGGAGGCGGGGAGCAGACAGGTGCCTGCTGCACCCCAGGGCTGGGGATGGGCGTGTGAGCGGGATGGCCCCGGTGGCAGCAGCTGAGCCGGGCTCTGGCCATGGACTCTGCCCGAGGTGCTGGTGACAAGGAGAATAGCACGGTTGCTGGCTTGACAGTTCTGTTACCCTGTGTGCCCCAAGGGCTGGTCCTCAAGGGCATGGGCTATGGCACAGGGATGTTTTCAGACCAGGGAATGTAGCTGAAGGGTTGAGTCTCCCCTGTAAGTTGCTAATCCCTGGAGCCTGCAGACCCGATGCAGAACATCTTTGTGTCCAAGGATGCTGAGGAAGCAGTGAGCTCTGCCAGTCGTTGCGACCTAAGGGTACTGCAGGTATCACAGTGTCCTGAGGGTTGTCTCCATTGCTGAGGAGATGGCATGACTTCTGGTAGCTCACTTCCATCCCACGGCCAACTGGGCTCATCCTGTGCCCCTGGCTGTGGGAGATGCTCCCAGACATAACAGCTCATGCACCGTGCCCTGCCATGGGCTGGGAAAAGCCATTGACCCAAGTCCTCATCCCTTCCCCCAGTGCCCTGACTTTTACTGCTGTTGACTCACTTCAAACCTGTTTTCTTTCCCCAAGTCCAAGGGTCTGGGTGTCCCAGGCAGCCGGAAGATGCTGCCTGCTTAGGGGGGTGGGTAGAGCTGCTCTCTGCCTGCCTTTACTTTATCGTTTCATCTTCCTCAAGAATTCCAGTGTGTTTGCTCTTGCTGGTCCCACTCGGAGGTGCTGAGATAAGGCTGGAGGCAGAGCTCGCCTCACCTCTCCCCGCAGCCTGGCCCAGGAATGTCCCCAGCCCCCTGCTCCCACCAGTGTCCCCACCCCACATCTCTCCCCATCACCCCTCGCAGTCCCTCATGATTGGAGACCATCTTTGCAGAGGTGATGAATTGCTCATGTGGAGCTTACGGTGGGACTTTTGGCTTTCTCTGGGATAAACCTCACCTGGAGGCAGATGTAGGGAGACCGTTCTTCTCCTCGCAGTGCTCTGTGCTCAGGGGCAGCTGTGGCTCATTGCATCCCAGTGCTGAGGTGATAGGCACAGCAGTGTCCCGGGTTTTCCGATGGCTCTGCCCTGACCCGGAGCTGTGTCCTTCCTCCAGTCCTTCCCAAAACGTTTGACTTCTGCTACGGGACGCTGTCCTGCCCACAGTCTGGGCATGAGAAAGGAGTGAAGCCAGTGCCGGGTGGCAGAGAGCAGCTCTCCGCTCAGCACAGCCTGACATTCCCAGGGTCTTCTTTTGTCTTGCCCGTCCCTGCCCGCTCCTTGCACATCCCACCTGCTCTCCCTCTCTCTCCCTGTTTGTTACCTCCCGTCGCTCCTCGCCGCCGGTACCTGCGGCCCTCCGGTCCCCTCCTACTCCCTACCCGCTCTGACACCTGCTGGCCACCGAGGGCACAGGCAGGGCCGCCCGGCTCGGGGTTCGGGGACGCCGCCAGCCTGGTGCTGCGCTGCGGGGACACCGCTGGGGACAAGGTGGCTGGTCCCTGGGATAGCGGCAGGCGTCCCTGCGGGGGACAGAAGTTGGAGGGTCTCGGTCTGTGCATGCGTCTCCTGTAGGGAGCACTGGGAAGGTGGAGGGGGACAAGAGGGTCCCAAAGCAGGGGGTGAGGGGACACGTGGAGCAACGCAGTACGACAAGAGGGGCTCCTCACTTCGGCAGGGCACGGCCCCGAACCCTCTCACTGGGGTCCCTGGAGTCCTCGTGTCTGCACGGAGTGGCACCGCGCTGGTGCTTGCTGAGGACAAAAGTCGCTCCCCTCCCTTCTCCTCCCCTCCCCTGGGCACTGTTTGTCCAGCGCCTTCCTACCTTATCTCCCCACGCCCAGGGAGCCACGAGACGAGGGTAGAGGCGCTCCCCTGCCCCATATGGAGCAAAGGCCTGCCGGGCACTGCCCTCCCTGAGGCTCACACCGTGCCAAGAGCAAGTGGAGTTCCCCTGGAGCAGCACCCCAGGATAGGGACAGGTGATGGGGGACAGGGAGAGGGCAAATCTACTGGGACAGCTCCTGCAGTGTGAGGGCCTTTCTGAGCCGCCTGGCACCCAGCAGCAGGTCTGTGGCCTTGCTTCATACTCTCCATGGTGCTCTCATGACCTGAGTGTATTGCTGCCAGTGTGACATTTTGCAGCAGGAGATCCAGCACCAGGCTGTGACTGTATGAAGCATCCCCCACAGTCTGCTTGTAGCCTGCTATCCTGTTGTGTCATTTAATGCTTCCCAGGACTTACCTCGTGTGGGACCACATCTGGTCCTTTTTTTTTTTTTTTTCCTATAGCCCCCACTGTGCAGTCATAGTCCACCCACCCTGTTTTATCCAGAAGCACCTCAGTACCATCCATATCACATTCTCTGCACCTTTTCCGTCTGATCTCCATCCCTCTTACAGTCAGAGAAGGGACCTAAAGTGCAGGCTGTACCTGCAGAGCTGGACCAGGTTTGGTCCCCACCGTGACACAGCTGCGAGTGGAGCTGCTGTGCTGGGGGAAGTGGACAGGGCTGCATCTCCGAGGGGTGCTTTGGGGTGAGAAAAAAAACAGGACAAAGCCAGACAGCTTGCTTGCCTGGCCCCTATGGCCACCAGCTGTGGGTCTTTGAGGACCTGTTGTTGTTCCTCAGCCCTTGTGTAAGGGACATGTGGAAATGGGCTCACCCCATGTGGGCAGGGGATGGGTGAGGTTGTGAGGCCGCTGTGCCCCTGGGGCAGTGATGGAAGCACAGCCCACCCCAAAGCCCTTTACTGACTGTGCCCCCCACCCTGCAGCGCTGCAAGGACCGCCTGAACTCCCTGGCCATCTCTGTTATGAACCAGTGGCCAGGGGTGAAGCTGCGGGTGACAGAGGGCTGGGATGAGGACGGTCACCACTCAGAGGAGTCGCTGCACTACGAGGGCCGAGCCGTGGACATCACGACATCAGACAGGGACCGCAACAAGTATGGCATGCTCGCCCGCCTGGCCGTGGAGGCCGGCTTTGACTGGGTCTACTACGAGTCCAAGGCGCACATCCACTGCTCCGTCAAGTCAGGTAAGGATGGAGAAGACAGCGGGGCTGGGGGACGGCCCCATGCTGCAGCGTGCTGTGGGCCTGGCTGGCTGATGGGGTGCTGCTAGGGGATTGCTGTGCCAGGCAGTGGGGCCGGGTGTGAGGCACAGCTCTGCGTTCAGCAGTGCCATGGGGCAAATTCCCTGACAGAGCCCACTCTCTCCATCCTTTTCTCACCCTACACACCCTTTTCTCCCCACGTACCCATCATTTCTGCCTCCCATACCCTTGCAATCCCTCAGTCCCCATCCAGCCCTGCTCTCCGCAGCAGCCCCCAGCCAACCCCGGGTTGTCCCATGGCCACTGTGGGACGAGGATGCTCCAGAAAGGTGTCCTGCAATCAGGCCCCTGCTGTGGAGGGATGCTGAGGGCTGCGGGACACTGGGAACAGGACTGAGCGCTGTGCTCGCTGGCGTTGCTCGCTTCTCGGGCGGTGCCGCGAAAAGCGATTCTGCAGGCTATGACGGTGTGGGGTGAGCCGCCGGGGGGACAGGAGCCGTGCCCGGGGTCCCGCACAACCCCCGGCCCCTCCCGGCCGCGCTGGCTGCGTGCGGCAGAGGGCAGCAGCGGCCCACGCACGGCGCGGGGCACCCATGCGGGCTGCCGGGACGCGTCGGGAGAGCTCCGCACCGCTCGTGGGCTTGCGCGTGCGTGGGGACAGCCGCAGCGCCGGGTCCGCCCACGTCCGCGCACACCCGCGGAGCCGGGCTCCCAGCGCACTGTGCCTGTCCTACCGCCCTAGCCCGCGCCCAGCGGCCCGACGCCCCCCGACGGCAGCCGGTCCCCCCGCGCTGATCCCATCCCCGATGCCAGGACGGCCCGCGATGGACGTGGGGCGACCGCGGCGCAGAGAGGGAGCGACGCGGCCCCGCAGCAGAGGGACGAAGCGTGGGCGAAGCGCCGGGGTTCCCCCATCCCGGGGTGCCCCGTGGGGCTGGCCACAGGAGCGGGGCCGGGCTCTGGAGCGAGGACCGTGACCCCGGTGCGTGGGGGCTGGCCTGAGGAGTGGGGCTGTGCCCCTAGAAAAGGACCGAGGCTCTGAGTGCCCCCGGACTGATGGAAGACAGATGCCGCGAGTGGGGCCCCGAGCTCCTGGAGGGCTTTTGGGGGCAGGTCGGAGCCTCATCGCTCACAGCAGCAATCTCCCATGAATGTGGATCCCCCGTATTTATCCCTAAAGCCAAGGAAACCCCGGGGCTGTGTGGCGGAGGCTGTGCAGTGCAGATCCCAACCCCCCAGCGCTGTGTACAGAGGGCAGCCGGGCTGCCTCATAGTAAATGGCTTTTATTTTTGTACGGATGGCCACGTGGCCTGGTGTATGTATTGTGTCCCTTTGGGTCCCCCTGCACCCGTGCACCCCTCCGTGCCCGGTGCCTGTGCCTCTGCTCCTGTCAGGTGCCCTCTTCTCCTGCCTGCCCCTGCCTGGGGATGTGGGGTGCAGGACTGGGGACCTATCCCTTGCTGGGAACAGGCGCAGAGCAGACACTGCACCTCATCTGAGCAATAAAAGGATTCTGTCCCACAGATGGGTGACTCTCTTCATGGGGCTGGGGGCTGGGGGCTGTGCGATCTTGGGGGAAGACTGCTGGGTTAGGTTGGGAGCAGAGTGGGTTGGGGCTGGATCCTGGGCAAGGTGCCCCAGCGGTGGGAGGATATCACATAGAACATGAGAGGACTGGGAAAGAGGGCTGCTACGGGGGCTGAACACCACACCTTGGAAAGCCAGCATTCCCTAACTGGGTCGGACAGTGTTCCCTGTCTGACAGCCTGGTGGCTTGTCCTGGCTGTGAGCTGTGACAGCTCCCTGCAGCTCAGAGAGGGGGTGCAGGGAGGGTGGAGTGAGCAGCAGGCAGGAGGAGGGGGCTGCAGTGTGGGATGGGGACAATATGTAGGGCTGGATGCTGCACCCCACCGCTGCTTCTCGCTGCATCCCTGAGTGGTACCCAGGCAGGCAGGGGACAGGAAAGCAGTTCCCACACACCCTGGGCACACAGTGCAGGGCTTGCAGCTTTATGTGCCTCCCCCGCTGCCTTGTGTGTTCACGCTGCCCTTTGCCCCGGGGCTGCCCTTTGCCCTGGGTGCTCCCTGTGCCAGCAGGTTTGGGGGCCCTGCTTTGCAGAGCAGCACTGCAGTGGGTCGCAAGCACTGGCAGGTACAGCTCGGTACTCTTGGCAGCGTGGTGGCAGAGGTGGCGCTGTGTGCAGGGAGCTGTGCGCATCGGCAATGCCGGGGCAGCGTTATACTTGCCGGGAAGCACGGGGCCTCCGTGCATTGTGGGGTGATGATAGGGGTCTTGAAGACGGGTAACCCTCTCCTTTGCTCTCTCCCTGTGCAGAGCACTCGGCTGCCGCGAAGACGGGTGGCTGCTTCCCTGGGCGGGCGCTGGCGACGCTGGAGAACGGTGCCCGGACCCCGCTGTGGGCACTGCGGCCGGGCCAGCGGGTGCTGGCGATGGATGGGGCAGGTCGGCCCACCTTCAGCAACTTCGTCGCCTTCCTGGACAAGGAGCCACGTGCCCTCACCACCTTCCACGTCATCGAGACGCGGCAGCCACCCCGGCGCCTGGCCCTGACACCCACCCACCTGCTCTTCGTGGCAGACAATGCATCGACACCTGCCACCCAATTCCGCCCCACCTTCGCCAGCCATGTGCAGCCCGGACACTTCGTGCTGGTGGTGGTGGGCTCAGGGGGGCTGCAGCCCGCCGAAGTGGTGGGGGTGCGGGGCCGGACAGATGTGGGGGCTTATGCCCCGCTGACGCAACACGGAACGCTGGTGGTGGACGACGTGGTGGCCTCATGCTTTGCCCTGGTGCGGGAGCAGCAGTTGGCACAGATGGCGTTCTGGCCGCTGCGGCTCTACCACAGCCTGCTGGGGGGACCGGGGGTGCAGGGTGACGGTGTGCACTGGTACTCGGGGCTGCTCTACCGCCTGGGCAGGATGCTGCTGCCCCCCGACAGCTTCCACCCACTGGGGGTGCCCCAGGCCCAGAGCTGAGGGTGTGCCGGCGGAGGAGGTGGCAGTGTGGTGACCCACCCCCAGCTGTGCCCACATTGGGCTGGGGGGGCTGCATCCACACCCAAGCCGTGGAGGCTTCGCCCTGCACACCCCCTCCTCGCCCCTTTGCTGGTGGGATCCACATGCTGCTATTTGTGTGTGTGCGTGCGATGTGCGTGTGTGTGTGCAGGGCTGGGGAGTGGGGACCAGAGGTTGTACCCAGGGCTCCCAGTAGCTGCAGCTCTATGGGGAGGCTTGGGGAGGGAGCTCTGGGTGCTTTGTGCGGTGATGCCATTCCCATCCCTGGATTGTGGCAGCTGGAAGGAAGGGAATGTGGGTACTGGGACCAAAAGAGAGGCACACCCAAACCAGTGCCTTGTATGGAAAGGATGGCGTGGATGCATGGGTGCTGCCAGGGCAGCAGGCTTGGAAACAGGACCCAAAGGCAGCACCACAGCCATCCTGACTGCAGGGACAGTGTAATAGCATGGGGGAGCTGCTCTGGGATTGCATCCCGGGGATGCAGCCCTGCAGGAGCAGCACAGAGGAAGCATCGCCCTCCTCGCCTCCCCCAGGCTCAGCCCCAAATCCCTGCATTTGCACCCAATGCTATAAACCCCCCAGGTGCTGCCCTCCCACCCCAGCATCCCACACCCTCAGGGTATCTCATTGCTGCTTGCCCGCTCTGGGGGCCTGGGGGGTCCCATCAGAGTCGCAGCCACAGTCACACATCTTTCTTTATTTATTTATCTGCTCTTTGTATGTACCATAGCCGAGAGGCACCATGGGCGCGTGCAGGGTAAGAGGGGAACGGGAGGGTTGGGCAAGCCGGTTTATTAGGGAGGGGGGATTATTTTTTTTTTTTTAATGAAAAGCAGAAATTATTTAAAGATTATTTTAAAGCACAGTTTTGATTGTGATTGTTGTCCAGGGTGAAGCAAGCTGACAGCAGGTGTACTTTTGTCTCTTCACTGGATGTACCTTTCCTGGTCGGGGACATGGCCCAATAAATCTGTCATCTTCCAGGCGGGTACTGCGAGCTGTGGTGTGGGGGGAGCCAGCCCCATGATGGGTGCAATGTGGTCAGCCTGCAGCCCCCAGGGTGAGCAAAGCATGCTGAGTTGGGCCGGCAGCTCTGGGAGAGAGATGCTCTATGTAGGGTACACCTAAGCTGTTGGGATCCCCTCTCCATCCCACCCCATGCCCCGTGCTCACTGTGGGGACCATCCCAGCAGTTCCTCATTCCTGCCCTGCCCATATTTGTCTGTCTGTGCACCCCTGCCCCATATCCACCGCATATCCCTGCCTCGATCCCATAGTGGAGTTGGAGCAGGGTTTTTCCCGAGACCCCTTAGCACAGTGGGTGTACAGCAGTCCAATGGCAACGTCTGATTTAAGGGCTCTATGAGGCAGCATGGCTAATTTAATTAGGTTCTTATTACAGGGAAGGACAAATTGGTCCCCAGAGGGCCCTGGGGTCAGGCCTTGGAGAGGCGCTTTATGGAGTGAGATTTCAATCAGGGGCTGCATGACGGGAGCCTGAGGTGGGAGCTGTGGGGCAGAGGAGACACCCTGGCTGTACTTTCCTCCCCATCTCAGCACCAGCCCAGTGCTGAGCCTGACTCCTCCTGTGCCTGTTGTGCCCTGTGGTTCTGTGGGCATTGCCAGACCAGATGGGTATCGGTGGGCATGGTGGAAATGGTCTTTGCCCCTTTAGAGGATGCTGTGAGTACAGGGGGCTGGCAAAGGAGGTCCTACCTCCCATAGGGTGGGAGCAGGGAAGTGTGGGGAGGGTCCCAGATCATGGCAGCAAGGGGAAGGGAGGGGATCCAGAAATAGGATTTTGGATTGTTTCTCCTCCTGAAGCCCCATGTGCTCCTCCATAGCCACATATAGCCCCATGGCAAGGACAGTGAGGACAAAACGATGCCAGTTCTGGTGGTGGGGTCCCACTGATGCCCTGTTCCATCCCATGCCGCTGCTTGGTGATGGATGGGGATGCCGGTGGGTGGCCGGCAGAAGGGCCGGGTCGGGGAGGGTACCACAATGGCTGTCTCCCCATCAATTTGTCCACATTACCATATGAATTGTGGGCGGGGGAGAGAGGAAGAGCATGTGGCGGTGGGGGAACCCCCCCACACGTCGCCATCTGGGACATCACGGTCGTTCCACACCCATCCAGCACTGTCTGAGCACCTTAACTCCCTCCCGGCCCCACATCAGGGGAGGAGAGGTCCCACCCCCTATTCAAAGCCTTGAAAAGGATACAAGGCCAGGCGATGTTAACAAGAGTGGGGGGCAGCCCCTTCCCCGGCCCTCCCGTCTGTCCCTCTCTCCAGAGCCTTCTGCTGCGGCCGTGCTCCCATCCCAGCCCAGCACTGGGCTCCCAGTGGGGTTCGGGAGCCATTGCCATAGGGAAGAAGTGAGCACCCCACAAGCATCTTCTGCTTGTGGGACAAGAGTGGGGCCGAGTTCCCATGCAGGGGGATCTCAGGGCCAGAAGGGGTTCATCACCCCCCCCAGCACCACCGGATGCTGCAGCTCCAGTCTGCTCCAGCCTCCAATCTCACTTCCATTAGCTTAATTTCTCTTAATGACTTTTTGGAGCACTGCAGCTCCAGGGGCAGGACCCTGATCTCTGCAGCACTGTTCGTGCCACTCTGTCCTTTTCCCCACGGCTGTGGGGTACGCAGGACAGCGGGACACACTGTGCGAGCATGCGGGATGAGGAAGGCTTTAATCAGGACCCTCTCCTTAATAAATCACCCATGCCCTCCCTCCCGCTCTAATAACTGGGCCCCACCACCACAACAATGCACCTAATGGAACGATTTATTTTCATAATGGTGCTGGTGGGGAGAAGGGGTGGCCAGGGCGGAGACAGCACACTCTGGGGCAGGAGTTTCTAATTAGTGAATGAAATTTGATGTAAAGCTGGAGGAAGATGGATTTGCTGCTTGACAAGGGGCCTTTCAGCTCATCAAATGTGCCCAAACAGGGAGGTAAATTAAATTATTTCTAATCCTTTGCTAACCTCTAGGGAGCCACCCCACCTCCCCCTCGCCAGCAAAGGGTGGGACTGCTCCTGAGCTGAGGAGGTGCTGACAGACTGCACCTGAGGGGAAGGGATCAGAGTCTGTGAAGGGATGGGCATGGTGGAGTGGGATGGGGTGGGATGGGGATAGTGGGATGAGGTGGGTTGCATTGAGATGGGATGCAATAGGATGGGATGGATGCGATGGGTTGGATGCAATGGGATGGGATGAGATGAAGTGGGATGGAGTGGGCTGCCACAGGTTTTGCAGGGAGGACGGGGAAGGCAAAGGTGGTGGCAGAGGGTAGAGCTGCAAATGCTCAGTAAGTAATCAAATGATGATCTTGGTCCAAGCCCCCCATCCATGCTCATCATCCCAAAGAGAGCTGGAGCAGGGCTGAAATGCAGCCAGCAGAAAGGCATTGGCATCTGAAGCCTCCAGGGCATTGGATTTTGAGGAGGTGACTGATCCTGAAGAAGGTGAAGGGGATGTTTGGGCACAGAGACCGTGCACATAGTGGTCCCAGCACAGAATGGGGGCAATGTGGAAACAGAGGGGCTGTGTCTTATTGCAGAGGGGGCTCCGCAGCAGCGATGGGGGCTGGCGCTGGGAACAGGCGCAGAGCGATCTGTGCTGAGCCAACACTCCAGGAATTTAATTTGTTTAATATATTCCCTGGGAAAGAAGAAAATAAATAAGTGGCACCTTGTGTGCCCCCATGGCTCACTCTCGCAACGGAGGTGTCAGCTTAACGAGCCGAAGCCCTCAGCCTGATTAACCAGCCACTGTTCCCGCTAATAGGGAGCCACCGAGCAGCATGATTGATGTAAGGGAGCATTATCCCAGCAGCACGCTGCTGCAAGGAGGTGCTGTGCCTCAGCCCCTTGCTCCTGCCCAGACACAGGTCAAGGGCAGAGATGGCTCCCAGCTCCCTGGGGCAGATACCCCCCCTCACTGCTCTGCCAGGCCAGGCTTTGGGACCGCTTGGCTGAGGGCTGGGTCTTGGATGTGCTCTTCTCTGAGGCCACTTGGGGACACTGAGGCACAGGGATGGTGACAACCCAGGTGCTTGGCAGCTTTAATCTGTGGACCCCCTGCCACACCACTTTGTCCCATCCATTCCTCACTCAGCCACTTCTGCAGACCTAGAAAGGTCCTCCTTGCCTGTCCTTTCACCTGTGCCCCCTCAATAGGTGCCCTGGGCGTCATTGCAGAGACATCACCCGTCCCTGCTGTCCCTGCCCCGTGCCATTGCCACCCCCTGCTTTGGGGAAGGGTTAATCAGCAGCCAGCGAGACAAGGTAATAAATGGCTGTTATCTCGTTAATGAGCTGACATTAATTAGAGCCCAAGGTCCTGGGAGGAGCAGCTGATTTATCCAGTCACCCTGGGAGCAGGTTAGGAGCTGACTCCATGGAAAGCCCATTAGAGGGGAGGAGATGAGGCTGTGCTGGGGGGTCACAGTGTGCTGCACCCTCAGCCCAGACCTGGTTCCCTTCCCTCTGAGTGAGCATCTCCAGCCCCACAGGATCAAAGCAAAGGATCCTGGAGCTGACAAGATACTTCCCACCTTCCTGAATGATGCCAGGCTGTTAGATACAAAGCCTTCCTCCTAGAAGCCAAATCCTGTGGGACAGCTACCAAGCTGCTGGGGACCCTGAGCTGCCCATGCTAGGGCTCCCACTGCTGCAGGATTGATTAAAAGCTATTATCCCCTTGGTTAACATGCCTAGGCCACCCACAGGTGACTTCTGGTCTGTTCATTTTGTCACAAATCACTGCGGGGATGGCGGTTTGTTTACATTCCCCATCGGCCTCCTGCAGCTTCCCAGAGCCCAGAGATAGGGGCAGTAGTGGATGGCTGGGGCTCCCATGAAACCAAGGGCAACCCAGTCAACCACACAACTCCGCCAGCAGGGCTTGGTGGTGTATGGCCAGCCAAAACAGCAGGTTAGGTGCAAATTGACACACAGTCTTGTCTGTGCCTGGTGTCTGGGATAGACTTGATCCTGGGAAAGTGGGAGTGTGGTCTTCACTGGCAGTTCTTTATCAGGTTGTGGATTTTCCTCAGCTCCCTTGGCTTTGATCTTGCAGAGGGGTGTTACGTTGCTGCCCAAGGTGATGGCAAGGAAATGGCAGGGCTGTAAAACTGAACTACGCTCCTAGATGCTCCCCTGGCCCCCGTGGCTTGCTTCTGAGAGCTACAGCACTGCTGATAGATGGTTGGATGTGAGCTGCTCTGTGCAACATTGTGGGTTCCTACAGATTTTAATGCTCATGAGCACCAGAGCTGGGTGTCCATATGGATGTTTTCTCTTCTAGTTTGTGTTTTGCTGCTTG